TTCAATTCAATTCAATTCAATTCAATGGCCCCTCCGAGAGTGAATAAAAGAGGTGCGAAAGGGGAGTGGAGTTTGCAGGAGGCAATTAGTTCGCTTAATCGGTTTGTGACTCTCCGAGACTCCTTGCCAGGTTTTGCAGATCTCGGCCTGGCAGCTCTCCAAGCCAGATAAGGTCTGTGACCGTAAATCCTCCCTTGAAAGACTTCGCTGGATGTGAATGAGCAGAATTCACAGTCAATTAATAAAAGGGGTTTTTGTTGGAACAAGGAGTTTCCTTCATGCTCTTAGGAAGCCTCGGTCAGAACACCAACCTTGCTGAACGCCCATGATGGCCCCAATTCATGAACAAGAGTGGCTGAGAAATAGTAGCTGGTTTGTGGGAGCATCAGAAGCTTAATGTCTCTGTGGTTTGGCCTGATCACTCTAGATCAGTGTTTCTCAACCTTGGCAACTTGAAAATGTCCGGACTTCAACTCCCAGAATTCCCCAGCCAGCATTCGCTGGCTGGGGAATTCAGGGAGTTGAAGTCCGGACATCTTCAAGTTGCCAAGGTTGAGAAACACTGCTCTAGATGCCATGATGATGCTCTGCTAATGGGGTGCTCTTCCAGATGTGGCTGGGTCCACAAGGTTGGGGATTCTGGAACAGGTTGTCAAGAGTTGGAGAAGAAGGAGATGCGGCTGCAATGTAATGGCAATTCCACAACTTGCATTTTAACAGGCAGTGGGACGTCCTGGACACCCTGGCTCATCGTTGGAGCCTCACCTGGAGGCCCCACAGCACTTACAGGTGGCCAAACACTTGCCGTCCTCCATGGCAACAGATGAAGCCAATGATTTGGAAGAGCTGGAAAAATTTGCCAAGACTTTTAAGCAGAGGCGCATCAAACTGGGGTTCACGCAGGTGAGAGGGGTCTCAGGCCAGCTGGACAATTCATGGACCTTCAACTACAGGGGGAGGGGGACCCTTTCTGCTCCCAACAGCAGTGGTGCAGTCAGTGGCACAAGGGGGAAGACGTTCAGTTCTGTACTAAGAGGAATAAACTCTGGTTATTCTCCTCTTCCCCTCCCCTCCTCCCCCATCTCTATTCATTCCTTCATTCTTCTCTTCCTTCCCTTTCTTCTCTTCTCTTCCTTCTTTTCTTTTCTCCTCTTCCCTTCTCTTCCCTTCCATTCCTTCATTCTCTTCTCCTCTCGTCTTCTTTTCTCTTCCCCTCTCCTCCCCTACCATCTCCTCCATTCCATTCCTTCATTCTTCTCTTCCTTCTCTTCTCTCCTCTTCTCTTCTCTTCCCTTCCCCTCCCATCTCCTCCATTCCATTCCATTCCTTCATTCTTCTCTTTCTTCTCTTCTTTTCTCCTCTCCTCTTCCCTTCTCTTCCCTTCCATTCCTTCATTCTCTTCTCCTTTCCTCTTCTTTTCTCTTCCCCTCTACTCCCCTACCATCTCCTCCATTCCATTCCTTCATTCTTCTCTTCTTTCTCTTCTCTCCTCTTCTCTTCCCCTCCCATCTCCTCCATTCCATTCCATTCCTTCATTCTTCTCTTTCTTCTCTTTCTTCTCTTTCTTCTCTTCCTTCTCTTCTTTTCTCCTCTCCTCTTCCCTTCTCTTCCCTTCCATCCCTTCTTTCTCTTCTCCTCTCCTCTTCTTTTCTCTTCCCATCTCCTCCCCTCCCATCTCTTCCATTCCATTCCTTCATTCTTCTCTTTCTTCTCTTTCTTCTCTTCTCTTCCCCTCCCCTCCCATCTCCTCCATTCCATTCCATTCCATTCCTTCATTCTTCTCTTTCTTCTCTTCCTTCTCTTCTTTTCTCCTCTCCTCTTCCCTTCTCTTCCCTTCCATTCCTTCTTTCTCTTCTCCTCTCCTTTTCTCTTCCCATCTCCTCCCCTCCCATCTCTTCCATTCCATTCCTTCATTCTTCTCTTCCTTCTCTTCTCTCCTCTTCTCTTCCCCTCCCCTCCCATCTCCTCCATTCCATTCCATTCCATTCCTTCATTCTTCTCTTTCTTCTCTTCCTTCTCTTCTTT